AACCAGCTCTTTGTTTCATTTATTTTTTGTATCGTTTTCTTAATTTCAGTTGCATTGATTTCTGCTCGGATCTTTATAATTTCCTCTCTTGTTCGAGCTTTGGGTTTTTCTTGCTCTTGTTTTTCTAGGAGTCTAAGTTTCATCGTTAAGTTGTTTATTTGAGCCCGCTCTGTTTTCCTAGTGTGGGCATTCAATGTTATGAATTTTCCACGTAGAACTGCTTTCATTGTGTCCCAAAGATTCCTGTATGTTGTATTGGCATTCTCATTTATTTGTAAAAACTGTCTAATTTCTTCTTTAATTTCCTCTGTAATCCATTGATTGTTTAGGAGAGTGTTGTTCAGTTTCTCCATGGATTTACTTTTCGACATCTTACTGTTTCACTGATCTGTCTGTCTATGCTGTTATGGTCTGGATATTAAATGGCCTCCAAAACTCTCCCAAGCTCATATGATGAATTGGTATCCAGCTGATAGTGCTATTAGGAGGTGGGGCCTATTTGGAAGGAAGTTGGGTCACTGGGGGTGTGCCCTTGAATGGGATTTTGGGGTTGCTGCCTTCCTTGTTCCTCTCTTTGCTACCTGACCATCATGAACAGTTTCCTCTGCCATGATGCACTGTGCTACCAAAGGCCCAAAGGCAACAGGGCCAAACAGCTATGAACTAAATCCTCTAAAATGGTAAGTCAAACCTTTCCTCTTTTTAAGTTAATTTTTCTTCAGTATTTTTCCTCAAAGAAAGCTGACTAATGCCAATATATTAATAAGTCTTAAAATCACAACTAATGAAATCAGTAAATCCTCCTTTTTTTGTTCTCTATCAATTATTATTATTATTTTTTTGCAGAACCAGGAATTGAACTCAGGACCTTGTGCTTGTCAGGCAGGTGCAGGGCAATTGAGCTACATCCCTGGCCCTATCAAAATTTTTTTTGGGTAGCTTGTGATCTTTGCATTTTTATATAAATTTTAAAATCAGTTTATCAATAGTTATCTCCTCTTAAAAGGGCATGTGGTATTTTGACTGGGATCATAATTAATCTCTAGATAAATTTGGAAAGAACTGATGTGTCAATATTTAGTTTTCCAATCCATGAATATAGTATACCTCTCCATTTAGTTATTCTGTTCACAAATCTTATCCTTTTAATATTTGAAGCATTTGTAGTAATGTTACCCTTTCCTTCCCGATATTGATAATGTGTGTATTTTCCTCATCAGTATCTATTTTATTTATCTTCTCAAGAATTAGCTTTTAGGTTCAGTGTTTTTCTCTTATCTCCTTTATTATCTTGGTTTAATTTGCTCTTATTTTTGTAGTTTAATTAATTAATTAATTAATTTTTAGTACAAGCGATTGAACTCAGGACCTTGGCCTTGCGAGGCAGGCACAGTGCCACTGAGCTAAATCCCCAGCCCTTTTTCTAGTTTCTTAAGGTGAAAGCTTATATTACTGATTTGGCACATTTTCCTAATGCATGTGTTTAGAGTTATAATCTCTGCACCTCACACATTTTCTAAGATTAGGCTAGAGATTAATTTGTGGAAACCAGGTAATAATGAAAATAGTTCTATCCATAGAAATGTAGACTATGTCCTGTGTAATACAATTACCACCTTGTGAGAATTATTCAATTTTACATCCATTTGTAAATTCATTTCAGTGTTCCTTACATGGCTGAATGCATGGTATGTTGAGTTCTTTTTAAGTGGTTGCAATATCTTACTGTTTTCTTCTTTAACTGGGATTAATAAAAACTTTGATTATTTCTTATTTCTCAATATTTCATACTAATTATCATGAGAATTATGATTTTACTTTTCTGAACATATTACCTTTTGACAATATCTATTTTATAAACCTACTGAATGAATTCTATAACTACCATTTAAAAAATAATTTCATTATCATAATTTTCTATCAAAATTAGTGAAAACCTTCCCACATTCTTGAAGTTTATAGAAACTCAGGCCAAGCAACTATCTTTACATTCATTAGTTTCAGGAGCTATCATTTTAAGCTTAACACAGAAGGATGCTTGTTGCAGATACAGGGGCCACTCAGTTCACAAACTAGTTTTATGATGTTGGGGAAGATGCCTGTGGTTGTGTTTGTTACCAGACGTGAAGTTTTGTGAGTGCAAGCAAGGTTGTGTCGGAAGCTTTTATTTGAAAACTAAACTGTTTGCAAATAGAAGCACTCACGACCTGAGGTACTGCTGTAATACTCTATAAGATTAAAAAACTAACTGGATAAGATGAATATAAAGATAAGGAGGTTAGCTTGAAGTATAATGTAATGTTTACTAACCAATATTAACAAGTGTTTTAGGATTTCAGAAATTCACCTGAATAATCTCTCTACTGTATCAATTCATGTAATGGGCACTGTCATGAAAATGGAAAATAACATTATTCTGATACTCATTTCTACTGGTAAGTATTAAAAAGATATGAGTAATGCTTAATAGTTACCCACTGTCCGATAAATAGTAAGTTTAATTTTAAATTACCAACCAGATAAAATGCTCATATTATTTTTAAAAAAGCACAACTTTGAAGAAAACTATCAAGTTGTAATAGTTTTAAAAACTCACCTTTTTTTAAAGACTAAAAGAAATATCTTAGAATTTTCAAAATTTTAAAATTTAAGAAAACAGTAATTTAACCATAGACAAATATACCAGAGAAAGTCATATAAATAGTAATCTACAGTGTTCATCTGTAAGGTAAAGTAAACTCTAAATTACTATTTTTTACCTTTTATTTCCAATAAGCATAATGACCATGTTAGAATTGGAATGCTGGCGGGCATCCTCTAACCAAGTTGTCAAGTGGTTGAATGTATCTCTCCTGAAAATAAATAATAATTTCATTATTTTTAAAGTATTTCTCTCAGTAGTGCATAACAAATAGCGAAGATTCCACTAACAATAACCATGTCAGCCATATCCACTTATGTAATGAGAAACAGACTGCAGGTACAAGAATTCAGGTTTAGAGTTTACTAATATTTAACTTTAGAAAAAATTACAATGCATGAATAATATTATCAAATTGATCATTTTGGGATGCTTACTTAAGAAAAATAATTCAGTTACTTATTTTTGTAGAACTTAAATCTGATTCAAATCACACAGTTTTAAGGATAAATAGCCAGAACATAAAGGTAATGATACTGTTACTGGCAACTACACATTAGAAAGATCATCTGCACTGACCACTGAGCTGACAGAACATGTACCTACTTCCAAGGATGAATGTAATCACTATGTACTACAGAGAGGTACTAATCAACATTTTAAGTTTAAATTGGCAAGAATTTACCTTGTAATATCATATACTAGTAAAGCCCCTGCAGCACCTCTGTAATATGACCTTGTGATGGAACGAAAGGACTCTTGCCCGGCCTATGAAGAAAAAAAGTTGATAAGTTTCCTTTAAAATGACGTTCTTTATATTTTTACATTACTTATACGTGGAACACAGGCAAGGAGGAAAGGAGTGTGTAGACAAAATTTACCAGTTTTAGGAAAAAGTTACATAATACCACTTCTGCTCAAGCTACTGGGATGCAGATACAGCGGTTTCTGCAGTTCTCATTCCTCAATCCCAAACAAGACCCCTAACCTTTTTTGGCAGTCTCTGACAACCCAATTTACTGAATGGTTTCACAATACATGAATCATTATTAGAACACAGAATGGACACCTAGCAACTAAGCTCTGAAGACAAATTTGAAAGGAGGCAAATAACCCAGAGCTTCACATTTGAATTCAATAACCCACTCCCTGGGGCAGCTGTTGACAACAGAATAAATAAAGCCCATTGTAAATAAATGATGAATGACATCTTTACGCCCACCATCTGCTGGTATAAAGGTTGTTGGAAGGCCAAAGATGAAGATTCTATCATAAAGTGCAGTGAGCTTTCAACAGCCCTAAAATGGAATTCTTTGAGCAATCATTTTATTATGAAAAACGGAAAATGGTTCTGAATTTAATAAATATAATTTTTTTCTCTACAATTAATTTTCTCTGTATCTGATGTATAGCACCTGTCAAAAACCAACAGGATGTAAAAGTCATCTTTATATCCACTTGTGAAATAAGACACAAGAAATTCTGCAAAATAAGGTAATTTAACAAATGGTACACAGCATGCTGCTTTTTAAAGAAAGGGTGTTGACCTAGTGCAAAAGGAAGTCCACAGACTGAAAGTGAAAGGATGGAAAACAATTCTCCATGCGTCAGGAGCCCCGAAAAAAGCAGGGGTAGTAGCAATCTTATTCTCAGATAAAGTAAATTTCAAACCAAAACTCATTAAGAGACACAAAGAAGGACACTACATCTTTGTAAAGGGAACAATTCAAGAGGAAGAGTTGACAGTCATAAACATATATGCACCAAATATAAATGCCCCCAACTATATAAAACAAATATTAAGTAACATGAAAAACCAAATAACCACTAATACAATTGTAGTGGGGGATTTAAATACCCCACTATCACAAATTGACAGATCATCTAGGCAGAAAACCAACAATGAAATAAGAGAACTGAACCAAACTTTGGAACACATGGACTTAATAGATAATTATAGAGTATTCCACCCCCAAAAATCAGAATGTACATTCTTTTCGGCTGCACATGGATCATTCTCCAAGATAGACCACATACTGGCTCACAGAACAGGTCTAAATAAATGCAAAAAAAGTGAAGTCATCCCCTGTATATTATCAGATCATAGTGCAATCAAGCTGGAGATCAATAGCACAAGAAACTGTAGGAACTTCACAAGCACATGGAAACTGAACAACACTCTCCTAAACAATCAATAGATTACAGAGGAAATTAAAGAAGAAATTAGACAGTTTTTACAAATAAATGAGAATGCCAATACAACATACAGGAATCTTTGGGACACAATGAAAGCAGTTCTACGTGGAAAATTCATAACATTGAATGCCCACACTAGGAAAACAGAGCGGGCTCAAATAAACAACTTAACGATGAAACTTAGACTCCTAGAAAAACAAGAGCAAGAAAAACCCAAAGCTCGAACAAGAGAGGAAATTATAAAGATCCGAGCAGAAATCAATGCAATTGAAATTAAGAAAACGATACAAAAAATAAATGAAACAAAGAGCTGGTTTTTTGAAAGAATAAATAAAATTGACAAACCCTTAGCTAATCTTATCAAAAAAAGGAAAGAAAAGGCTCAGATCCATGCAATTAGGAATGAAAAAGGCGAAGTCACAACAGATCCGAAAGAAATCCAGAGGATCATGAACACCTACTTTGAGAACCTGTACTCTAATAAAATGGAAAACACAGAAGAAATGGACAGATTTCTAGATACTTATGAATTACCAAAGTTGAACGAAGAAGATAAAAACATTTTAAACACCCCAATCACAATCAGTGAAATTGAAAATGTAATTAAAAACTTACCAACAAAGAAAAGCCCAGGCCCTGATGGATTCACTGCTGAATTTTACAAGACATTTAGAGAAGAACTACTACAATTACTCTTCACACTTTTCAATGAAATCGAAAGGGAAGCTATACTTCCAAATTCATTCCTGGAAGCAAGTATCACTTTGATTCCCAAACCAGGGAAAGATACAATTAAAAAGGAGAACTACAGACCAATCTCCTTAATGAATATAGATGCAAAAACCCTTAATAAGATACTAGCAAACAGAATACAGAGGATTATTAAGAAGGTCATCCATCCTGGCCAAGTCAGATTTATTCCAGAGATGCAAGGGTGGTTCAACATACGAAAGTCAATAAATGTAATACATTATACACTTGATCTTAGCCAAAAGGCCGAGAAGCGATTGTAATACATTATATTAACAAAGTCAAGGACAAAAACCATATGATCCTCTCAATAGATGCAGAAAAAGCATTTGATAAAATTCAACACCCATTCATGATAAAAACCCTGCAAAAAATTGGAATAGATGGTCTATACCTCAATTTAATAAAGGCTATCTATGAAAAACCATCAGCCAACATCATATTGAATGGCCAAAAACTGAAAACCTTCATGTTAAAATCAGGAACAAGACAAGGATGCCCATTATCACCACTTCTCTTCAACATAGTTCTGGAAACATTAGCCACAGCAATTAGACAAGAGAAAGAAATTAAAGCAATAAAGATAGGAAAGGAAGAAGTTAAACTGTCATTATTTGCTGATATGATACTCTACATTGAAGATCCAAAAAACTCCACCAAAAAACTTCTAGACTTAATTGACAGATTCAGTAGAGTATCTGGATACAAGGTGAATGCCCAAAAATCAATAGCCTTCTTATACACAAATAACAGACACCCGGAGAGAGAAATAAGGGAAAAAATTCCTTTTACAATAGCATCCCCCAAAATGAAGTATCTAGGAATCAATCTAACAAAAGAAACAAAAGATCTCTACACTGAAAACTATAGCACTCTGAAAAAAGAAATTGAAGAGGATATAAAAAAATGGGAAGATATCCCCTGCTCTTGGGTAGGAAGAACCAACATAGTGAAGATGGCCATACTACCAAAACTGCTATATACATTCAATGCAATGCCAATTGAAATTCCAACACTATATTTCACAGAACTAGAAAAAAGAATCCAAAAATTCATTTGGAACCACAAGAGACCTAGAATAGCAAAAGCCATTATAGGCAACAGTCACATGGCACCAGGTGTAACAATTCCCAATTTGAAACTATACTACAAAGCCACTGTGATAAAATCAGCATGGTACTGGCAAAGAAATAGGCCTGAGGATCAATGGAACAGACTGGAAGACACAAAAACAAATGCAGATGTACTCAGCTACCTCATCTTCGACAAAGGAGCTCACCATCCTCAGTGGAGGAAAGATAGCCTCTTTAATAAATGGTGTCGGAAAAACTGGATGTCAGCCTGCCACAGATTAAAATTAGACCCTTATCTTTCGCCATGAACTAAATTAAAATCCAAATGGATTAAAGATCTAAATATTAAAACAGAAACATTAAACTTGCTGGAAAGTAAGTTAGGCAGAACTCTGGAAGACATTGGTATAGGAAAAGACTTTATGAACAAATCCTCAGTAGCACGGGAACTAGCAGAAAGAATCAACAACTGGGATCTCATCTTACTAAAAAGCTTCTGTACTTCAAAAGAAACCATTAGCAGAACTAAGAGACAATCTACAATGTGGG